AACAAAGTTGATCATAAACTGATGTTGACGATTATTGATGGTAAGATTTGTACTTATATCTCAGAAGCAAAATCAGGTGCAACAAGCTACATCTGTTTAGCCAAACCAACTGAAATGAACAATTTAGATTTGATATCATCCAAGAGAGCATCTACAGATGTATAAGAATTCGGATTGTCATCACTAATGGCCGTATTGATTCAATGGAGTGTCTACTACACATCTTTTATAGACTCGATTTTAAAAAATGGGTTGCAAGAGGAGGTGAACACAAAGAAATGTTAGAGTCAAGAAATAAAAATATTCAGGACAGATTTAAAGCTGATCTTAATCTATTAGTCGACATTGTCAAACAAAGATCGGGAACCACAAACGATGGGAATACGGCAAGAAGATTTTTTGAGTTTCCCGATAAAACTGCGGCTATCACTGGTTTCGACTGGCAATTTGCTGTGATTTTTTCGAGTTTATTTGGAAGTAACGTTATTTCTATATGTTTAAATAATGGTTCAGGTGATGCGATTCGAAGCACCAGAAAATGGTGTGGAATGCGATTTTATTTAAATATTTGTGGGATGTATTTGCAGTTTGATTTTGCAACCAACACAATATGGAATTACGGATTGTTGTACCCAAATGCTATGTCCAGTGAAGAGTCTCGTGCTTCTCAGTCTTGACTCCAACGATGCACTCCAAGGTGTGGACACTATTACACTTATTTAACACAGCTCACGCTTAGAATGAACAGATTCTACATTTTAATATAAAAACATAGTTTTATTCGTGGTAGAGCCATGCTGCAACTATATTATGATTTTAGTGTAAATGGGTCGGCTCGATCGGGGTAGGACCACGCTCTTACAGAATACCAGCGTAAATTAGCAGCTAAAAGCTGCTGTGTTTCGTAAGGTGAGTGTAGAGAACTGGAAAACCTTTTTACTAGATACGAGGCATACCGTTTTAGTCCTCAGAGGTGACAACGCATCCACATTTTAAGCCTTAATCAAAGGTAAATGAAGACGTCTATGTGCCACAGTGGGTCAGGTAGTAGTAGAGGTGGACTGTGGGCACTCCTCTTCCATATTTTATAAAAAAATTAACATTGTGACAGTTCTGGCACATTCTTCAGGTGTAAGCGCATTCATTTGTTTTCAATATTGAAAAATATAGACCAGGAATGTTTTACTATATCATTTTTTATTATTCTAAATAAAAAAATTGTGATAGGTAATTTAAACTGATAGCGCGATGCGTTGACTGCGTTGAGACAATGTGATGACAATGACAATGTTCGCAAAAGTGACATTATTTACAATATGTTATTCTTAAATTGTATTATACAATTTATTGTAATGTATTGTCATTGAAATTAATTATTATGTATTGTTATTTAAATTAATTATTGTGTTGTAATTAGTAATCTTTTACCATTTGAATTGTTACTTTTTGAATTGAGATGCTACATTTATCGATTTAGGTTTTCCCTGTAATGGTAGGTGTTAGTAGGAAATATAAATAAATAATAATAATAATAAATAAATGTATCGTATTGACGGCGTCTACACGAACTGATTGCCTAACTGCTACTGAGCTACTGACTAACATGCTGGTCGTGAATGGAAATGAATAAAAATTAATTTCTGAAGCGGTCTAGAGGAAATCTGATTTGTCAACAAGATTGACATCAAAATGCGGAATATTTCAATTTGAGAAACGGTGGTAACAGATTCTGATAATGCACTTACAGGAAAACACAGGGTTTTGTTACATGTTGTGTGGGCAAGTTTTATTTATTACTCTACTATGTAATTTATTAAGTTATTACTAGTAGTTTATACTATATTAAAATTATCTATTGGTTCAAATCCATTATCTTCAGAGTCGCGTCCTATATTTGAACAATAGTAATTAAGCATGAATATAAATCAAGATTGCCGGGCTGCACCCCGTATAGGCTGGAGCAGCGATAAGGCACCACTTGGCTCCACTTTGCGTTCTATTTCGCACGTTGCCAAATTGCTCAGCTCGCAACTGGACTAAAGTCGTTGTCGAGTTAAGCTAGAGATAATACCCCTTAGTTATAGTAGATTCGTATATTAGGAAACTGGGACAAAAGCTTTATGTTCGGTCATTAGGAAATTATGGATGGTATGCTCAAATTAGGTAATATATACTTTTTAAAGTTATGACTTTCAGGGGCTCAGCATTCACGTGTTTTGTATGATGAGTGTACAGAACCGAAGACCCGTTTTACTGGAATCGAGGCATTCCATCTTAGTCCTCAGGGGCAACAACGCATTTGCATTTTGATTCTTAATCTATACATATAATAAATCTGTAGAAAATTTGTGTCTGTAATTCTAATATTTTTTTAAGAAAACGAGTCCAGGTGACTAAACAAAGAGCGTACTGAAGCCATATTAATCGTTTTTAGAATTTTTGTCTGTCTGTTTGTCTGTCTGTCTGGTCTTTCTGTCTGTATGTCTGTGTATTAAAGATTCACGCAAAAACTACTGAACAGATTTCCATGAATGTTTTTGTGTAGGTAGTCAGGGACCTGGGGCTACTTATAGGCTACTTTTTATCCGATTACGGATTTTCAAAAAAAAGTAGATTATGTTTTTATTTTACTTTAGAGTTAATTTTATAATAACTGCTTATAATCTCTTAGTCGTAAAATCGATTACGTAAGAGTCCTTTATTTGTAAACTGTATTTATAACTAAAGTTTAATATATTATGTTAACCATTGAAATTTAGTTTAAATTTTCCAGCGACTATCTACGTTGTATGTTTTACAGACACCGCCATCTATTATTGAAAGGTAAAAAGTGTTACGTTATCCCTTCAGTCACTAATAAATTATTTATTCATATTAATGCTTTATTAAAAAAAATTACCTTATTTATGATCGTTACAAGATTTTTATATGTATGGATTGCTTTTAAAGTTTGAATTTCATTATAAAAATGGAGTTTGATTTAAATAGATAATATATCTATGAAAAATTCAAAAGTTACAATTAATACAGTAAGTAGGATTCTCTTACAGCGCCACTTCACGGCGTTTACGGGAAATGAAAACTTATTAATGTTGTTTTGTTAAGTAGATATTTGTCTTTTTAAATTGTATATACTATATAAATATACAATGAACAATTCCCATTGTATTAGAAGTTGAGACCCTAGCTGTCCTTTGTCATGGCTTAATATCTACATGGCGTTGTTAAGATTTATTTTGAATGTACTTAAGCTAAATTTCACCCGCATATATCTACGAGTATAATCCAAGCGTTAGTTTCTCCATTCAGCGTATTATGTATTATGTACGTACCAGTTCAATGGTAGGCAGTACACACAGCATTTATGACCGCAAGCTGATAGTGTTCATTTTTAGCATCATTCTTTTCTTACTGTAACACTTGGTTTGAACTTTAAATTATTTTGTTGTCCAATTTTAGTTTTTACCAATGATTTCAAAAGGAAGGATAGGCCCTTCTAAATATTTTGCTCATAACTTTTTCATACAAGAAAAAGAAAAAGTAGCGCATCTGTCATAATACAAATGTCATATCAAAACACGACGTAACCAGGGTCGGATTTCGTAGTATAATTATCCTAATTGTATCATTAGTCATTACTTCATAGTTTGTAGTATATAGTATCGTAATAATACAAAGCGAAAGTACCATAATTTTAACCAAAAGTCGACTTGTATTATTATTGGGTTCTTTTAAATTTTAATATTAACCCTACGATATCGAGAATTTCTGTATTTTACACGAGTACCGCATCTCTATCTAATTTTATTAAAAAAAATTAATAAAATTAGAATTAGCTCCCTTTCTGGTCAATCGGTGCTTGATCGATGCATCTATGTTGCATCCTTGATACAACTATAATTAGGAGCTACCACGATAAAAACTCTATGCTCCAGAAGCAATCAGTTTGAAAACAGAATTTCCAAATCTGATTTTCAGATTCTTTAGTACTCTTTTCGTTTTACCCTTATTGAATATAAAATAAATTAGGTACCAATATTCAAAATTTAGCTTACACTAAGTTCTTTAGACAAAAATTAAACAGAAATAAAACCGTCAAAAAACGAAACGTATAGATAAACTATGTAGATGCGTGACGCCAAAATCCCGGCACGTGGGAAAAAAGATCACGAAACGTCAAACGTGATATAATTTTTTTTTAAATAGTATAATTTTATTTTTCATATACAATATTTTTGGTAGGTCGAACACCCCTAACTAGGTAACGTAACTAAACTAACTGTAAAATAAAACTTTAAAAATGCGTTTATATAATAATTTAATTGAAACAAAATTAATATAAGGTAATTACCGATGATACGATACCCCATGTTTTTTTAATCTTTGTTTCGTAATTTTTGCATTCTTTTACCACATACTACACAGCAATAACTAGACATATTTATGACAGGCAATATCTGTCCTGCGCGCGCACTACTGTCGACCGACTCGCGTTGGCCCTAAACTGTAATTTTCGGGCCAGCGCACTGGTCCGTTTTAGTTGTTCGGTTGGCCTGGTCCTTACGCTAGTAATATGTAAGTCCATGATTTTGACTGTCAGTCACAGATGTAAAAAGATATATTTATTTGTAATACCGTTACGTCATCATCTACATCGCGGTGTCATGATTTTTCGTGAGTTTTCCTAATAAGACACTGAATTAAATCTTCGCAATATTATAATTTGTGACAATTGTTATAGTTGTGATATCAATATCAATATTTTGTGCTTAGTTTTCTACTCTTTGACCTTTCATTACATATTACGGATTTTCTAATAATTTCTTACAATACGGAATTAGTTGATTGGATTTATTAAGGCTATATCAATATTTTTATTAATAATATTATTGTAGTATAGTATTATTAATAGTATTAGTGGTTTGGTTGTTGAATAAAATTTAAAAATTCCCCGAAAAAAGAAAAGTAGTCTTTCTTAATACACTAGAAATGCCAAAAAGATGAGACAAATTCGGTCGCAAGAGACAAATGAGGACCGTGAACACCGTTTAGCTTACAGTAGAGAACAAACTGCGGAATCTCGGGCATCAGAGTCCAGTTTTCATAATGAAGCACGCCGAGAACGCCACGCGCTGTCTCACGCTTCGGAAACTTTAATAAATTACTCACAGCGTTTAAAAGTAGACCGTAAATGTCATGTCGAGTCTCGCGTTTCAGAGACGTTTACCCACTATTTGGACCGCTTGACAGCAGATCGGAAACATCATGCAATGCCTCGCGCTTTGGAGACGTTTTCGGATTATTCAGAACGCTTGACTGCAGACCGAGAGCGTCATGCTGAGTCACGCTCTTCGGAAATGTTTACCGAGTATTCAGAGCGGTTAACTGCAGACCGTGAACGTAATACTGAGTCTCGCGCTCCGGAAACGTTTACGCAGTATTCAGAACGGTTGACTGCAGACCGTGAACGTCATGCGAGATCACTTGCTTCGGTATCATTTACTCAACCTGAAGCGACGTTAGCAGCAGATTAAAAAAAGCTGTTCGGTTAGTAGAACACTTGAAACGCAGCAGGAGCATGACTTACGGTTAGAATTGGCAAGGGGGTGTTATGAAAATTTGCTTCAAAACCACAACGAATTTTTGTCTTTACAAAGGGAAAGAGTTCAAGCCATTAGGAGCAATAAGACAAAAGATGAATGCGCAAATCGGTTAGAAGCTGATCGTATTCGCACTCTTATAAATCATTCACCCACCGTAACTCCGCCGAGCCGCATGGTCTTTTGCCCCCTCTCATATAAAAAATGAATATTTTTTCACATTGTTTACTTTTGAATTTCTAACAGAATCCGTTTCTCTATGTCTCTGTACGTCAGGAAATAGTCATTAAGGAGCAGAAGGAACCGAAATAATTCAGGATCGGAATATAAAATTGCATATTAATATCACCTTTTTGACTCTTTGTTTTGTATTTATTAAGTTTTAGTGTTTTGCCAGTAATTGTTTACATTCATAAACCAGAAATGACTTAGGTAGTAGGTAGCGGGTATTGCGTTTCCTTAAAATGTGCATAATATCATAAAATGTCAAGTCATCCATATTCAAAATTCAAAATTTGATATATTTTTGCCATTTTCACGAAGTAGCTAAAGTACAGGTATGCTAAAAATAATGTGTACCTAGATGTTTGAATGAGTTGTGTATGAATGATTTAGACTTGAATACTGTGTGGGATAATATTAAGAAAGGTTTGGTGGATGCCGCCACCGAAGTATGTGGTGTAAGTAAGAGAACAAATGAAAGGAAAAGTAATACGTTGTGGTGGGATGATGAGGTACGGGTGGAAGTTGAATCAAAGAAGAAAGCATGGTTAGATTTATTAGCAACCAAAGCTGGTAATTCTTCTGGTATGAATGATGAGATTGAAAGAAAAAAGGCAGAATTTAGACGTCTAAATAAGAGAGTAAAAGAAGTTGTTGAAAGGAAAAAGAAAGAAAGAACGGATAAGAATGATAGAAGAATATCTGATAATTTCCAGGCTAACATAAAAATGTTCTGGAAACTCGTAGGAACTGCCAGAGGAAATACAAAACAGCCTCTAATGAATGCTATAAGAGACAAGAATGGATGTATTCTGAATGATGAAGCTTCGAATTTAAACAGATGAAAGGAATACTTTGAAAGCGTGTTTATGAGTGAAGAGTCGTCTGAATTAAATGAACTAGAAATTCCGAAAGAAGTGGAAAGGGGTATGGAGATAAGTGTAGATGAAATAATGAAAGCAATGAAAAGCATGAAAGCAGGTAAGGCAGCTGGATATGATAGAGTATCACTCGAGATGCTAAGGGCTGGAGAGGGAGTGGTGGCAGGCCTGCTGTACACCTTGTTTAATTTATGTTGGGAATTAAACCGGATGACTGGTGTAAAGCAGTTATAGTACCAATATATAAAGGAAAAGGGTCACAGCAGGACTGCAAAAACTACCGTGGAATCAGCTTGCTTAGTATTGTGGGTAAACTGTATGCTAAGGTGTTAATTGAAAGAGTTATGAAAGAAACTGATGGAAAAATTTGGGATGTGCAAGCGGGTTTTAGAAAGGGAATGGGGTGTACAGACCAAGTCTTGTCCATGCGCATGATTGCGGAGAAGTTTTTGGCGAAAAACCAGAAAGTTTTTTGTGCGTTCATGGACTTCGAAAAGGCTTATGACGAGTGGACAGGAATGTGTTATGGCAAACACTGAACTCATAGGCATTAAGGTCTCTTTATAGGGACTCTAGTGCTTGTGTCAGGATCAATGGGGTCTACTCGGACTGTTTGGCATCCAAAAGGGTGTCAGACAGGGCTGTGTAGCTTCCTCTTGGCTGTTCAACCTATTTATGGACAGGTGTTTGCAAACTTTGAAAGACGAAGAAAGTGGGTTAAGAATGGGCGAGTTAACCGTCAAATGCCTTTTGTATGCCGATGATCAAGTCATATTTGCGTCATCGACGGCTGAGTTGCAAATGATGGTTACATTAATGAACTGGGAATTAAAAGAAAGGGTAATGAAAGTGAACGCAAGTAAGACGAAAGTGATGGTTTTTGAAAGAGAAGAAAGCAAAACGGTATGTGAAATAAGAATAGCAGGAGAGTTAATTGAGCAAGTGGATGAGTTTGTGTATTTGGGATGTGTATTTAGCAGGGATGGTAGATATGATAGGGATATAGGCATATAATCCACGAGTAAATGCAGGGAATAGAGTGAATGGGGCGCTACACTCTATTGTGAAGAACCAGAATGTGTCAAAAAAGGCACGTATGGTAATTCATAATGCTGTGTTAGTCCCTACTTTAATGTATGGTAGTGAAAGCTGGGTGTGGCAGAAGAAGCACGAAAGTAGAATAAATGCTGTAGAAATGCGGTCTTTAAGGAGTATGCTAGGGTTGAATCCGAATGACAGGGTGAGAAATTGTGTGATAAAAGATAAATGTGGTATGCAAGATGATGTGACCAGGATTAAGAAAGAAATGCTTCGGTGGTTTGGTCATATAGAAAGAATGAATGAGGAAAGAGTAACAAAGCAAATTTATATGGCAGATGTGAACGGCCGAGTCGGGAAGGGACGCCCTTGAAAAAGTTTATCGACCAAATTGGCGATATTTTGAAAAGGGCCACGTTAGAAGTACCCTTAACCGACGAGCATGTATGCGTAGATATATGGATGTAAAGGAAGCGAAAGAGGTATGTCAGGATCGTGCCAAATGGAAGTCCGTAGTCTCTGCCTACCCCTCTGGGTGACAGGCGTGAGTGTTTATAAAAAAAAATCATTATATATACTCGGTTTGTAGGTATAAAAGATTTGGAGAAAAGATTACACGCGAACGAAGTCGCGGGCACAGCTAGTTAAGGATAAATGTGGATGTCTATGGGTCACAGCATCCACTTACCATCAGGTAGACTGTGTGCTCGTTTGTGACCCATTGCTATAATTTTTTTTATCGCAATTTAAGAAGCTGATTTACCATGTGCTCGGTGGCGAAGGAACACATCTTGAGATAACCCATATCTGAGGAATAAAATAGTATACTACTAATATGACTGCAGCATGGCTCTACCACGTAAATACCACGTTAACAAAAAAAAATGTTGTGAAATAAAGAATTGTATTTTTATTATAGTTTTTGAACTACAACCGAGTAAAGCTTTTATTTTGAATAATATGTAAGTATTCATTGTGTAGTGGCGGTTGAGAATATCCACTACCCCATATCTTCCCGTGGGTGTCGTAAGAGGCGACAGAGGGACACAGAAAGGAGATGGGCAGCAGCATCTTCCTAATAACAACAATAACATAATAAAAAACTGCGGTTGCCAACCCGCTCGCCAAGCGTGGCAACTATGGCAAATATCCGCCCATGAGCAACGACGCAAATAAACGGCCCCCAGTCCCCGGCGGCCCCGCCATTCCTGGCTACGGTGGCGACCATGGTAACGGCGGGGTAGAGGGTTCTAAGAATCTCCGGTGGAGGTTCGGTTGCCACCTACGACGACTCGACCTGGCAACGTATAACACACGCACCCTGAGGACTGACGAGAAGATACTGGAGCTGGAAGAAGAGGTAGACAAGTTGCGCTGGCATAATATTGGATTATCTGAGGTCCGAAGAGAGGGGGGAGGACACGGTAATCCTCGAGTCCGGCAACTTGTTCTATCACCGGGAGGGCGACCATCTGTCCCAAGGAGGTGCCGGATTTATCGTCCACAAGTCTTTCGTCAACAACGTTGTAAAGATTGGGAGTGTGTCGACGAGGGTCGCGTACCCGATACTCAGAATCACAAAACGGTATTCGCTGAAGGTCATACAGGTCTACGCACCAACCTCGGCACATCCCGATGAGGAGGTGGAGGAAATGTATGAGGATATTTCTAGAGCCATGCATCCTCCAAAACCCACTGCACGGTGTTGATGGGAGACTTCAACGCAAAACTAGGCACAAGAGAAGGCGGTGAGCTGAAGTTAGGGAAATTTATAGGGCAACGGAACCGTAGGGGCCAGCAGCGGGCTGACTTTATGGAGAAAGAGGGACTCTTTATGATGAACTCTTTCTTCCAGAAGCGGCCCCACAGGAAGTGGACCTGGTCGAACCCCGACGGTTCGACAAAAAATGAGATTGACTTCATTATGACTACCAGACGCCAAATGTTCAGTGATGTCTCAGTAATCGCAAGGGTGAAAACCGGCAGCGATCACCGAATGGTTAGAGGCACACTGAACCTAAACGTTAAATTGGAGAGGTCTCGTCTAATGAAGTCAACGCTCCGTCCCCCTCGTGCTCTAATCCAGAATCCCGAGACTTTTCAGCTCGAGTTACGTAACCACTTTCAGTGCCTACAAGATTGCAATGCAGTGGACGATATGAATGAATGACAAGCTCGTGGAAACTGTCCATGCTGTCGGAGCTAAGTTCTGCAAGACCCGCCGCAGAAGAACACAAAAACTCTCCGATCACACTCTTAATCTCATGGCTGTTAGACGGGAGATGAGGCTGCAATCGTCAACAGATTTGACAGCATACAGGCAACTGAACAGACAGATCTCCAAATGCATGCGGCGAGACTTACGCAACTTTAATACTGTTCGTATTAAAGAAGCGATCGAGCGGAACCAGGGCTCCAAAGTCTTTGCCAGAGATTTGTCTGCCAGAAAGAGCCAACTGTCAAAGCTGAAGACTGAGTGTGGCAGCATCGTTTCCGAGACACCTGAGATTTTGAGTGAGATTGAGGGGTTCTATGGGCAGCTGTACACATCATCGTTGGAGCCACACGCAAGTGTGAGTAACGATCCAAGAGCAAGTCTTACCCGGCATTATTCCGATGATATCCCGGACGTCACTCTGAGCGAGATTAGAATGGCTCTCCAGCACCTTAAAAACGGCAGGGCCCCAGGCGAGGATGGAATTACAGCGGAGCTTCTGAAAGCGGGTGGAACACCGGTACTTGAAGTCCTTCTGAAGCTCTCAATTCCGTCCTCCATGGTGGTACTACTCCGGA